GCCCCCCACGGTGTTTGTGGGAGATCTTGGAGGGGGGGACGTCAGTGCCCCGTTTGCCACCATTTTCCCAGCTAATTTTCTGCTGTTGTAGCAGCTCAATGTATTCACGACTGTCACCATGACATGCCGCCCAGAATAGAGAGGGCAAAAGTGAAGAAAAACAGAGGAGCTGTGGAAAATGTGGTGAAGTAGAAACAAACTAGGTTCTGCAGGGGGCTTGGGTAAAAGCAGAAAATAACTGCATGAAGCAGAACTCGAAACGGCATGAAGGATAAATCGGCATAAATGATGGCAAGAAAACAAGTCAATGCATATATGCAAGTTTAATTGTCTTTCAGGTGTTAAAGTAGATAAGGCTTTTAAATCCTTCATTTTCTTACTTAAATCATCCAGTAGTGGTGTGTATGAAGTGGCACTTCAATGCTTTGCTCTGAATTCCTCGCTATTGTAGCCGACCCTTTTTTTTTTACCCCCATTTGGAGGCTCTTCTGACAGCAACTCGTATTAGTGCCGTCTCTCTAAATATGTCTGAGGAACTTCCTGTTTGGCCATTTTTGTAGCTTCATCAGATAACATTAGTTAGTGCCAAGAACGTCACTAAATGCAATTGGATTAGGTGTACCCCAAGACGAAAATGGCAAAAACAATTCCAAACGTTTTATGTAGTAGTACTATTCAAAACATGCATTATGGCAATGTCCTCAATGAGCAAAAGCTAGCACAAAGAGCTAACATAAGCAAAAATAATTATGCTAAAGATATCAAAATAAACAAATTCAAGTCTCAAATAGTTTGTCATTTCTGCGTTCTCAACTTTCTTGAACTTTGGCTAAACTTTCACTGCAAAAGATAATGGCAGATTCAAAAAAGTTGTACAACTGTACAAGTACACAACAAAATGTACTCATGGGTTAAAAAAGTGGATATTAGATCCTACATTCCCTCAGTAAAATACTAAGATGCATTGAAATAATGGCAAATTAAAACTTATCTCCAAATACATGGAATAAGGACATTTTCTTTTATATATAGCAATAAAATTACTATATATAAATGTTACACATAGCAATTCTATTCCAATCGAGTTCATACAAAAATAGTTAATTTCATTGACTATATATATATATATATATATATATATATATATATATATATATATATATATATAGGGAACTAATGTCTGATGACTCTCCCTTCTTTCACTATTTGGCTCGTCTGAAAAACATGAGCCATGCCTCTTTAACGAGAAATTACTGTGACATGTACCTGAAAAATAGTGACAAATGATAGTGCATGGTACAGTTAGAGCAGTATTACCTCAGTTTTATTCTAGCTTGCGGGTTGTTGGCAATTAAGTTCTAAAATATTCCAGAATCAGCTTTTCACCTGAGGGATGTTCAGCATGTATGTTTTCTTTCTTTCCTTATTACATCTAGAAGCAGCTAAAGTGTCTGCCATCTTTGGCTCGTGGCGTCTTCATGTACTCCAGGCTGAACCGTTGGGAGGAGCCGTCTCCCCGGACAATAAGATGGCGACAACTCTGACATACGCCCCAGGGCTCCAGGTGACATCTTCATGTCTGCTGTTTTTCATAAGCTACAGCCAAAATGAGTACATGTCTTGATTCATCAACATCCCAAGGCCAGTGGATGTTCACGCCTCTCAGAGTTATGCTTACTTATGGCCTTTCTTTCACCTGATTGACCCAATAAACATTGGGTCAGGTAGAAAGAGAAAGAAGTCTCCGATTTTACATCTCAGAAAACTGAGTACTGATATAGCAAAGGTGGCACAGAAAGGTCTGCTTTTTATTTAGCTGCTGGCTGAGAGAGAGAGAAAAAAACCCTACATGACATAAATGCGATCTTAATAGCTACAAGCTAGACAGCACTTGTCATAAGGTCCTATTTGTGTTTCAAAGCCAAAAGGAAAAAAAAAAACTGCGTTTATTCTGTACCTAATGGGTGGCAAATATATCATCATGTCACCAGTGATACCTTGACAACAACAAGTGTGCAATAAGGCATAAAATATGTATTAAAAGATGAACCCATTACTGACTTTTGGCCAATTTATAATTTCTCGAAAGGAATAATCGGTAAATACCGACTTCAGCTAACTGCAGACTTTTTTATTAAAACTGTTCTATTTTTTTTATTTTTTATTTTGTGGTTGAATATTTTCTTCAAAACAAAATCCTTATTGTACAATATATTTTCTTCTAAAACAGCCCAAGGTTAAGCTGTACAAATAAAACCCAGGTAAATAAAGGTCTGCTTTTTATTTAGCTGCTGGCTGAGAGAGAGAGAAAAAAACCCTACATGACATAAATGCGATCTTAATAGCTACAAGCTAGACAGCACTTGTCATAAGGTCCTATTTGTGTTTCAAAGCCAAAAGGAAAAAAGAACTGCGTTTATTCTGTACCTAATGGGTGGCAAATATATCATCAGCAATAGCAAATTCTAGCTCCTTGAGGGAAAAAAAAGTATGATTTCAGATGATACTCAACCAGATCTGTTCAAAATTTGAGAGAGAAAATATTTCCAACCTCATCATCCTTCAGATGTTTCTATGGCGTAACAGGAGTCACCATGTGGTAAAAATTGGGGTCTTCGTAAGGCCCCACAGTATTAGTATTACAAACAAAATATGAAATTAAAGTATACAGAAGTTCAGACCAGAGACAAGCCAAAGAGGATCTGAACGAGAAAGAAAAAGACGGCCACGTCACGTCTGAATCTCCATTGTTCTTGCTGGACTCCATGTTTGTTCGAATGCGTGTCATGTTGCCCAAGCAGGCATGGTCCGCTCCCTCATATATAATCTGTGTCACGGCTGCTGTCACGGTGTGACTGCAGGAGCTCAAGGCAACAGCTGCTCTCTCCTGCTCAAACTCTAGCAGCACAGAAAAGTTCTGCCTGTCTTCAACCAAACCAAATAATTCAGATTCCCTTTAAAGGGATGTTTTTAGACAGAACCTTAAGGCATCATCATTTCTTATTTTTCCACATTTCCACAAAATGTGTCCAGTAAAATATGACTGTTAAAGTTGAACTTTTCTCTGCCTTATGATTGGAATCAAAGATGGTTCCACACACAGACATGAACAAATAATTTGCAAGAGCATGACAATAGTAGTAGTACGAACCTGAAAAGGGTTCATGATAATATAAATAAGCATTTGTTTTATGCTAATATAGTTAGCGATAATCCTGCGCAGTGTCTGTTTGCAGTTTTGAATCAAGTGATCAGGCTAAGTAGGGATAGTTTATGGTCAACTTTTGTTAGCTTCAGTGTGGGTTTTCAACTTTTAGCTACTAAATTCTTCACATTTTGAATTAACACCACTTGATAAGTACATACATTGAAAACTTGGAAAGTTTTTTTTAAATTTTTTTTTTATATACAACTAGAGATGTGTTTCATGCTAATATATTTAGCAACAATTCTATCCAGTGTTTGTATTTATAGTTTTTCAACACATCTTCTGGTTCCTAAAAGCGAGCAGGCTAATTGCTATACCAAGTTTCTCGCTGACTTTTGTTCGCTTCAGTCTGTGTTTTCAACATGAACCAAAACTTTAAAGATTGCCACTTCTTGACCCTTGAATTATCATTATTTGTTGACACTGAACTGTGTAGCGTCTATCAAGTTTTTCCTGATGTTATTTTATCATTCTATATTTTTGGTCCTCTCATACACCAGAATGGCTGGAAGCTGTTGTCTTCCAGCCATGCGTCAGTCCGTACCTGCAGGAAGTCGAGGCCATAATGTGGCTAGCAGCAAGTTACTGATATTTAAATAGATAATGCTAACTTTTTCCATCTGACACATTTATTACCTTGCTATAGATAAGGAAGCTTTACTGAGCTTTCTTTCGTTCCTCATAAACAATGAGTTTAGTCTTTAAGATGCTTTGCAAAGTTTGTAGAGGTAATTGGCTTTCTGGCTACCGCAAGTGGCAACAGCTTACATAAGGCCTCATTCACATCCTTCCAAATGTACTTTTCTGTCCCCCGAAAGTCAAATGACATCCCTAAATGTCTTTGTTTTTGCCTTTTTAACTTGAAGCAATAAATCCCAGCTTTAATTCTCACCCTTCATGTGAGCAGTTGAAATGAAGCAGAAAGAAAAAGGATTTTGTGTGCCAGCTGAGGGAGAAAATGCCTCAGTTTATAAGATGAAAATTCATTTGTTAAGTATCGATAATATTTCAAAATGTGAGCAACAGTCCCTTAAATAGTGCCATTTTTAATCGCAGTATTTACTCATTTGTTGTGTTTCTGTAAAGCAGGGGTGTCGGAGTCTGTGTTCTGTTACTTTTACACCTTCCTCTGGTCCAGGACCTGAATACAACGCAATCCTGACCGACAGTTTTGTTAATGTTCCAATTATTTTGCCGAAAGCATTTTGGAGAGACTCGCCCAAACGCTGAAAGGCACTGTCCCTGGAGTTTGAGACATCTGGTGTTTGGCTGAATTTTCTCATTACATAAAAATCAACATTCCCATTATCTTTCAAAAAACAGGGCAGTCTCAGAGGAAACTTCTCGTTTCTCCAGCTTCTAACACCTCTCCCCTGCATTATTTCTCTGGAAATTATTACCTCAACCCCAGCACTGAATGCTACAATTTCCTGAAATCCACAGCAAAAAAAGTTTTTGTTGATTCGAACCCTTAAAAAAAAAAAAAAAAAAAAAAAAAACAGAAATATCACTTGGGCCATAAGTATTTCTCGCATAGCTTATAGTCATTGAAGAGCAGCACTCTCAGAACCAATTATGTAATTATCTGAGGCACACAAGAGTGTTTAACTTCAGTACTTCCAAAAGAAAAAAAAACAAAAAAACTAACTATTTCTAGAAACTTCTCACAGTATTTGTACTGCTTTATCCATGGACAGTCCTTTCGATCAGTTTGATGGAAAATGCGTTTTCAGTACATGTCAACCACAATAGTTTTTCTCATTATCCTTTCAGACAAATATGAGATTCTTACCAGCATTGGCAACACCAGGTCAGCTAAGTAAACGAAAGCTGCTCCAAGTGTGAATCCTACAGCCACCGGTAGGAAGGCGAACGAGCCGTACTTCCCAGAATCCTCTGCCATGTCGATTGCGGGTGCCAGCAATGACCAATAGGATGCAGCCAACATTACCTAAGGTAAGCAAGAACAGAAAGAAGAACATTTTTGTTTAAGTGCACTGGAGTTGCACTTAATGCAGATTTTGAACGACCAATCACAAGCATAGAAATTTTATTTCATCTTTTTGCTGCGTTTTATGATCAGGGACCATAAACAGCTTTACTCAAATGATTACCTACAGCCCAGCTTTTTTTCTTAGTGTCTGAGCAAAAGGAGTTATGGCTAAATTGTTGATTTAAGCTGGTGTTTCATTGTGCATCAGTGTTTAATTTCTGCCTTTTGCCACAAGTGTGGCATTTCCATTTACTTTTTCCATTTCTTCTACGAACAAAAGCAAATTGTGAGGAGGATTTGGACAAAAGGGTGGCTGTCATCTGCATAACGATTTCAGAGCTATACATTTCACAGTTAATCCCTCACAAGTAGGACAAGTGAAAGTGAGACATTCGGGTACTTCTGTTCATTGCTAACATGTTTTAAAATGACTTGTAAATGTAAAGTATTCCTTTGAGCAAAACTACAACAGGTACCTGAATGCAGCCCAGTCTGCTTATTTTTCTGTCTTTTCTAATGAAAAATATTGTCAAATGGTTAATAAAGCAGACTAAAAAGCCAGAGAGTACATTTCCTGAGAGTAGTTTTAAATCTCTTAGTGGAGACCTGGTTTGTGTAAATGGTAAATGGTAAATGGACTGAACTTATATAGCGTTTTTCCAGTCATTTTGACCACTCAAAGCGCTTTACACTAGAGTCACATTCACCCATTCACACACACATTCATACACCGATACGCAGACCGGTAGGCAATTTGGGGTTAAGTGCCTTGCCCAGAGGCACATCGACATATGGCAGGAGGAAGCTGGAATCGAACCTTGCAAGGCGACAACTCTGCCACACAACCACAGTATCCAAGCTACTGTTACTTTCTCCTCCTCCCTGGACAAAATGCCACATAAATCTTTGTCATGTAGGCTCACTCTTGGCACAAATTCTTTTGTCACCACTTTCTCCTTGTGTGAATATTAAACTGTGATTTGTAAGTTCAGGGTCCTCTATAGTGACCAATAGTGTTCAGAGCTACTCAAATACCTGGTTCGTTTGAACATGAAAATGGTTCTCAATGACGACGCTAAATATCATATAAATGTGGAAACACAAGACCAATTTATCACCGCTAAATTTGTTCAGTACTTAATAGTACAACAGCTGAAGGTTTTGCAGGATTTTTTAAAGATGTTTAACATTTAATGGGATGGTTCAATCTATGGTGTTTGGTTTTTGTTAGACAAGACGAAGGTAAAATTAATGTAAGTGTAAAAACCCCAGTAATGGTAAAGGGTATACTTTCTGTCGAACGTGAATTTGTATATGAACAAAACCTCATACTGGTCCTTTGACACCAGCTTTCTTACACAATCCAACAGCAGGGGAAATACAAGACAGAAGCTTCCAATCAAAAGCAATTTAAGGTTATTGTCCAACCAATCAAGTTGGTTGGACATTGTGCAACTTCACAGCCTCAGGCACTAGGTTTTGCATAACAATGTCTAAACTGATTGTACGTGCTTTAGTGCAATACTGGGGACCGAAAACTCATTTTGTTCGTTTCTGGTTTTTGTCCAACTGTCAAAAGGCACCAGTCAAATTCTCGCAATAATCACCTATAAAATAAGGCGCTTCCATTCCCAGCCGTTTTCTCATTAACCCGTCTGGGCTTCCATTTTACAAGTTGGAAAAGCCATGATAGTTTTCACTGTAATGATACAAGATGCCATAAAGACCTGAAACAAAATATTATTTTTTTAAGCATGTAACTGTAAGCTTTGTGGCCATTTTAAAAATGAGGTTTTGGTTTTTGTATGCTGGTTTTCTTAAAAATGTATGTTTTCAAAGCAGAAGTCATGATTTATTACGATTAGAAAACATATCAGTGATTCACTGACACTGTATGTTAAAATATCTTATAAATATATTTATTTCACCTTGATCAATGACAGCAAATTTAAAGGCTTTTTTATTTCAGCTTCTGTAGTTAAAAGAGAACAAATTTTCAACCTAAAAACCCACGTCATACTAATAACCATACAGTTTCCTACACAACCTTTTAAAAAGGGAAACTAAAAATTTCTTTTTAGCAAAAGATTTAGATGAAAGCTGTGATGTCGAGAAAGACCAAGAATTAAATTTCTCACGTGTGACAGACTGCGAGAAATGGAGTTGAAAGATCACTGAAATGATTCTGCACTTTCCAAATGACAGCAAGCAGAAAATGTCCTATTTAAATGTCAATCATGCAACATCACTTAACCCCTCGGAGAACACCAAACCGACTTGGGTGTCTTAAGATATGAGAAGGCAAAAAAAAGAAAAGATTTTGCAGAACCTTCAGTAACATAAATTTAACTGTTTTGGGGTTTTTTTAGTGTTTTTTTTTATCTTCATTGAATTAGCAAAGTTCAATGAGAACCAATGGTTTATCTTTTTATATGAACATTTCAAGATTAAACTGCATTGGACAAATTAAACAACAAATATCTACAACACATTTCTCTACAACCAACATTTCTATTTCTGTTTCTTTTCCATTACGTTTCTACCCTTCAACCTTTGTTCCATCTTCTTTCCAGTTGCCACAGCACAGGCCCATTTCACAGGATCCACTTTCACTCATTAAACCTGAATGGAACAGTCTCTCCAGGCAACCTGACCACCTGCTCCAACATTCATTTCCAACTTTTATTTTTAAGTTCTTACCACTGGCCAAGCATTGGGAGTTCCTGCTCTCATAAATGATAATACTGTTCAGCTCATGCATATATTTGATGTCTATGGGTAAAGCTTTTCATATATAAATGTATTACTAAGAGTATTGCGTTTAATCCTTGCTCTTCAAATGAAATGAGACTGTAGCTGCTTCTGTTATATTTAGGTACGCTGACATTTTCCAGGTAAGGTTTGTAATAAGCTCTCTCCTGCTTCCTGTGTTTAGTATTCAACAACACATCTATGACAAATGCATTCTGAAGCAGAGGAGTGTAAAGCCATTCAGCTCTGAGAGAATAAATAAAAGATTATATCTGACGCCTTGTTTACTGGCATCAAAAATAATTTATTGTTACGGCTATGAGCTTTGAGAGACACGGAAAGATGTTTTGCTTCAACTTTGAGAATTTCTATTGAGAACAGGCTCCTATGTGAAGTGACTGGACAAAATGCAATTAATTTAAATGATTTTAGCAGTAACTAATGAAAAATTGATTTTTTTTAATGACAGGATATACTCTTGATTAAATTACAAGAACAGTTCTTGTTTTGTAAGAGCTTGTGAACTTGCCAAAAACCACAAGTCATTATGTCGACCAGTAATTCTTGAGAAAAGGGACAAAATGGGTTTACATTTTTCCGAAGAGATTTGAATTATTCCTCAAGCTTATTTATTCAAATATTGTTTTAGACATGTAAAAATGCTAAGGTGCAGGTTCCCAGTTGCAACATTTTTCTTGAAAACTACTTTTTTAAAACAACTTGACCCATAACTTTCTCACCATCTGACAAAACTAAATATATATTATTTTGTGCTTTATCCATGGGATCTGTTTTGTCCCTCTTCTCAAGAATCACTGAGACACAAAATGAGCCATTTACTGAATCAAGACATTCAATGGAAGAGTTTCAGTCACAGTGAAGCAAGTGCCATGCTTGACTCGTAAACAGGATCCAAATGTGGGATAAGGTTGCCACCAGGGCAGATGTTGCTCAGGAAAAACAATAAGCAGGTCACAGTGTTGATGCAAATACTTCAGAAAGACCGATACAGAATCCACTTTCCTTCAGGAAAATACAGATTACATGTAAAAGAATGTCAACTTGTTCATTGCCAAAAAACAAAAGGTAATTTAAAAGTTACTTCCCTGTATAGCAAAACAGTGGGCAGCAGAGAAGAATCAATATCCTTTATGGATATCTGTATGCAACGTTGATTAAGTTTTGCAATTAGTTTTTTTTTTAAATATAGCTGATTGTTATTGTGCTGTATTCCTATATGTCTTTTAATTTCCTACAGTAAAAATCATTTTCAGTGTGAGCAGCAAAGAAATATCTTTTTCTCAGATTGATTCTTTTACATCAGCCCTATCCAGCTTTTGTTTTTCAGCCAATTTTACGACACCTTTTCTTAGATGGTAAACATTCAGCAGGGTAGATTGGAATAGGTTCGCTAAGCATCGGTTCAACTTTGGCTAACATTTACTACTTTTACCATTAGCCACAGTAGACAAATGGAAATCTGTTGGAGATGTTGACTGAAGAGCATTTTTCTGATTTAATTTGTACCCACAGTAGAACTGGATAGTTGAGCAGTATGGAAACTTTGCCAGCTATGATGAGCATCTGTAATTAGCTATCATGTACACAGCTAATGTTAGCTTATGCTATCTGACATTTTTGCTCCTTTGTTGTGTAAAATTATCTTAGCACTAGCTTCAGGATGCTAGCTTGCCTTTCTCTTTTGATCTGTCTTATAGCCAAGTACTTCAAAACAATGTTAACTTTTACCCTGTTAGCTACAAAAGGTAATTAAGGATCAATGCTGGTAGCATTTGCCATGACTTCAAATAACAGTACATTGTTATGATCCAGCCAGCTCAACTTTATGCCACTTTTTTGACCTTCCATCCTCTTGTTAGGACTCTTAAGGACCCAAGTTACTGCTCTCATATATTTGCTCTGACTCTTGTGTTAATGACTATCCTGACCTCCTAATCTCTATATACACCTTCACTTTAAGAACTGAAATTTGAGTGTGAGACTTGGAACTGAACAGAATTACTCCCTAGCAAATCTACTTTATAAAGATTAATGAAACCTTCATTCTGTTGATGGAAATATGCAAAAATAATATTTAAAATGTTTATTTTAGCTTCTGGTAGTAAGCTGCAAAACTACCTTCTACTAAATGTTGGTGAAATCTGCTACCAAAAGAAAATAAGCACAAGAACTCCCAGCTGTGTTAA